GGGCTGGCTTTGAACCGCGATCCTCAGATCTCAGCCTCCTGAGTAGCTAGGATTACAGGCGTGAGCCACCAGCGCCCGGCTTTGAAGTGTTCAGCTCTTAAGTGTGAATGTTCTAAGTCCCCTGTGGTCCAATGCTTTCTCCATGACTAGCAGTTTCTCTGGCTGGAAACAGTACGTGCTCATGTTTTAGTCCAAAGGAATCTGATGTTCCTGCTAGAGACTAAAGCTGTTTACAAAGTATATAGGTGTTACACAAACCTGGGGGGGAAAGTCCAGGTTTCTGGAATTTTCACTTCCCTGAGACTTCTGGGATTTAGCCATGGAGTCCACAGACAGGGGTGGAGTGCTAGTTTTGTCCAGGGTGAGCCTGCCAACAAAAGCCAAATGGAGACACTGTGGCTTTTAAATAGGCTAATGACAGAATTGGCCAGCTGCTTAGCACAGGATTATCAAACTTTAATTAACAGAAATCCTTAAGGAACATGATGTTTTGGTGAATTGAACTTTTTGCTTAACTGGGAAAGCCCCTGATCCTTTAATTCCTATAGCTGATAAACTAGGAACACTCCAATCCAGTTTCATTTTTCACAAAGGAGGGAACGTCGAACAGCTTGCTTAACACTGAAGCATTTATCCTAGGTCTGCCTTGTGTCAGGGAGCAGGCTGGGCAGGTACTAAGATACACAGGTGACAGGATGTGGTCTGGAGCTTACTGGAACTTGCTGATGGCAAGGCAACACCGAATTCCAGTCCTGCCAGGAACTGCAGCTGCAGGTACAGGCCACTGAGTGCAATGACAGACATGGATAGAATCCATGGTAACAAAGGACACACACATTCCTCTCAGGAAGAGAGCTTATTCCTGTCAGAATTTGCCACCCAAGGTGGTGAGGTGGGAATTTATAAAATGATCTCCATGTGGGTCAGATATTTTGATTTTGGTTCTCTCCATAAAAAGCCTTTTCCTGTCTCTCCCCATCTCCTCTCTTCATCTCTCTCTCCTTCCCTCTCTCCTTCCCTCCCTCCCTCCCTCCCTCCCTCTCTCTCTCTCTCTCTCTCTCACACACACACACACACAAATAGAGGTTCTGCCCCTCCACACATACATGCACACATATTCTGTACAAGAGGAACGGCTTTGATTTTCCTGTGAGTTATTACTTCTTTATATAAAAAAACTATAGAATGCTAGGGGAAAACCACTGAAGATTCTTTTTAATGTGAATTGAAAAGAATTGGACCTCTTAGCACTGAGTTGAAATGTATTACTGTTCAGAGGAAGAATGCAGCGATTCAGCAGGTGTTTAACTGGGCAATGGGTTCAAAGCTGAGGAAGCTTTGAATCCATTGCAGAGACGAGGCTCTCTGCTCCAGCATTTCACATCACTGTTCATTTTAGGATCAACAGCCTTCTTTGGGTTCAGCTCTGTACTACTCAGTGTTTGCTTCTCATCGGGGCTCTCGGAACTACTGATGCTCTTTCCTACCTAGACCCAGGCTCTGGTTGAGGTGACTGTTGCTTAATTACAGTGAAGCCCTGGAGTCCCTTCGATGAGCAAGTAAAAACCGGACTTGCAGAGTGTGAACTTTCATGGTAGAACATGAGGACACTCAAGCTAGGGAGAGAAAATCAGGGATGCACAGCGACACTGGCCCCTGCTGCCCGTGTAGCTCTGTTGGAGCTGTTAAACCTCACAGCCCTGGATCCCTCATCTACCAAATGGATATGGTACAGCCAGCTGGACGTGCTTCCTTTTGCCCTATACATAAAAGGAGATGATGTATGTGAAAGGGTGAAAAAGGGCAAAAAAGTTCCTCAAATGGAATGGAGGGGGAGGTTAATTTCACAACATCGACTTTTGTCCCTTATGCTCACCATACATCTTCCTACTGCCAACCCTACCACTCCCTGAACTCTGAAGGCAGATGCTCAAGGATGATGGACGTGAGGTTCTTTTAAGCTGTCAAGGCTATAATAGCGTGAGTGACTGAGTAGACGTACAGACTGCCACAGGCTATGCCAGCCAAGAAAGGAACACAGCCCCCTCCTCTTAGTCCAGGATAGTGTGTGTGCCTACCTTCTTGCCTTCTCCATATATAAGGGGAAACTTCAAGTCATCGTCCTCAATGGTTTTGTATGCCCTGTAGGAGGATAAACAACATTTTAAAAAAGGTTGACACTCAATTAGTGACCCCTGCCCTGACACAGGCTGCTTGGCACTTCATTTTTTCCCCAAGACACCATCTACTCACCACTATGCCTGTTTCTTTCTTAATAATCATTCTCCCTACAGAATAGTGTATGTGCACACACATATGTGTGTGTGTGTGTGTGTGTGTGTGTGTGTATTTTAGCAAACCAGAAAACATTGTCTCCATATGTTTGAAGAATGAGAAAAAAGAAGTTAGCATATTCAGTTAGTGAGAAGGAGAGATGGTTTTTTTGTTGTTTCTTGTCTGTGCATTAATGATGCGACTTAGCCACAGGGATTGGATTCTCCTCACTGTGTAGCTGTGAGAAAGAACAGTGCTCAGAGGTGGATGGAGTGTGAAGCTGCTCCAAGAGCCAGCCCTCACCTTCAGGGGCCATTTACATCAAAGCAGCAATACTGGAATGCCTGGGGAGGGAATATTTAAGAGCCTGTGTGACCTTAGCATGGCATTCAAGGTTGACAGAAAATTCTTTGCTTCACAATAGCTTTTAGATAGCCATTTGACACACAGGAAAAAAAAAATCCAGTTTATGCTTCATGGTTTATTCTAGACATGGTTGTCTAAATTCAATTGCCAGTAAGTCATTTGCTCATACACAAGTTAAAAAACAAACACGATGTCCAATTATTATCTATATCACCTTGTGCAAAGAGTGTCACCTTTCTCATTTTTAGCTTCCTCATCTATAAAAATGAGGATAATACATGATGTGAAGAACTTGGCCTATGTCTGCACTTAAGAGCCTGTGTTAGTGCAACTATCACTGTATTTAGTAGATAATTAACATTAAGTTATTAAGAAGAACAAGTAAAAGATGGGACAGGTTAAGTGATACAGATGTTTTAAAAACATAATGACTCCTGAGTGCATAAGAAAAACTAATTTATTAAATGGTCTTCCACTCTTATACACACAAGACAGCTAGGAAGCAATGCTGAAATCACATTCATGGAAGCCCTTGATGTACAAAAGAATGCAATCTAATTTAGAAAGCAATCCCAAAGTTGAAGCAACTGTACTCTTTTTGTCCAGAAGTCTACTTGGATACTTTGTTCTTTCCCTGGGTGGGAGCGAGGGGCAGAGAACATGTGAGGTTTGGGCATCAAATGCACCTAGGTTCAAGGCTGGCCCTGGTGAGTGGATGTGCCCTCTGAACTTCAGTAATCAGGCAAGGCTGTTCCATGGACTAAAAAGGGGTAACATGCAGGACTCAGGAAGTACTCGGAAGGACTCAGGAAGTAGTGCATGTTGAGAGCTAATAAAGCCAGTTGTTGCTGCTACTCCTGGCAAGTGAGCCTGGAGGTAATCTAGGAATTGAATTTTCAAGAAAGGATCTATACTATTTCCTTTCCCTGAACCTATCAAATTAACTCAAAGTGGAAATAACCACTTTGATGTTTTATATACTCCGATGAACTATTTTAAACAGTGCGGTATATAAGTCACTTGGAGGAATAAGTAAAACTATTATTAGAAGCTTGCCCCAGCATGGGGATTGCTGGAGTTTATAGACCAGTGGTTCTCAACCTTGGCTCCATACAAAATCACAATTAAGGGCTTAAAAAAATCTTGATGCTAAGGCATCAGCAGTGAAAGCAGAACCTCTAGGGAGTAAGACTCAGGTTATCAGGAGTTTTTTTTTTTGGGGGGGGGTCCGGTCGTGGGGCCTGTACTCTGGGCCTGGGCGCTGTCCCTCAGCTCTTCAGCTCAAGGCTAGCTCTCTACCACTTGAGCCACAGTGCCACTTCTGACTTTTTCTGTTTATGTGGTACTGAGGAATCTAACCCAGCCCTTCATGCATGCTAGGCAAGCACTCTACCACTAAGCCACATTTCTAGCCTTATATATTACTTTTTACAAACTTGCATTCTTTTTTTTGTTTTGTTTTGTTTTTGGGTCCGGTCGTGAGGCCTGAACTCTGGGCCTGGGTGCTGTCCCTCAGCTCTTCAGCTCAAGGCTAGCTCTCTACCACTTGAGCCACAGCGCCACTTCGGGCTTTTTTCTTTTTGCTTATGTGGTGCTGAGGAATTGAACCCAGGGCCTCAGGCATGTAAGGCAAGCGCTCTACCACTGAGCCACCTTCCCAGCCCTATCAGGAGTTTTTGAAGTCTTCCAGCCAATGCCAATGTGCCAACAAGGTGAAGGTGCCTGATGCTGTACAAACATCAGTCAAATCAGCTTTTAAGTGAGTTAAGCAATAAGCCCCTAACCATCTTGACCCTGAAGAAGACAGATGCATACCTTCATGGAGGGGAAGAAAATGGCCTGAGAAAAATCTATAAATGAGAATGAACGGGACTTTGGATGCTGTATGGAGACAGAGAAGAATGGTTCAGACTGAGAGTGTGCAGTGAGAACCACACATAGAAAAAAGGACTAGCCTGGAGATCCAGGAACAGATGTTTGGTATTGGGAAGGAGGCAGAGGTAAGTAGACCAGAATCAAGGACAGGAAATTACTTAGAGCTCACTCAGTGTCGACTAAGAGTCTCTTAAAGCTTTAAAAGGGCAGTGACAACCCTGTTCTCTGAGACCACCACACGCCTAAGCCATTGACTCCTCTCAAGGCAGAGACATTCTGGAGCATGCATTCTATGCTACAATAGCTCTGAAAGACAGCCACGCTTCCTGGAGTTTTTATCCAGCAAATACAAATTTTAATACTATATTTTAGCTTCTGCTTATCTATCTTCAGGAACAACAAAAAATTAAAAACAGAAGTGACAACCTTGGAAAGAGCAAGATTTATTCTGCTTTTTACCAGTGTTAGATTTTAATAAAATATGAGCCCTCATTTTTCCACAGCAACAAATGGCAAGGATAATAACTGTAAGAAGAGAAAATACAACCCTCTCTCCCCCTCAGTCTTCTGGGTCGTAAGCACAACTCATCATAAAAAAGTAAGTGTACTTCCACACCCAAGAGTGTTGAAGAATGATGCAGGATGTATTGGGGGTTGTGCGTGTAGCATGAGTAATATCCTGACTTTTCAGGATAAATAAACACACACACAAACAAAAAAACTTCAATAACTAAAACTAGAGAGTCTATGAGACATTGTATAACAGAAAACAATTTTATTATAACAGAAAACAATGACAGATATATGTGTATTATGCAGTTATTGAGAATATGAATAAAAACAAACAAGGCTAAATATAAACAAAATAGGCCTCGGTCCATAAAAAAGGAAGACCTGAAGAGATTTGGCTTGGCTCATTTCCTTTTCTAGTTTATGTTGACGCAGTAGATATTTGACTGTGAATGGAGAATGCTGTTGCTTTTACTAATTTTAGCTTGCTAATTCCATTTTTCTAGCCCACCCAGAGCTTTTGGAATTCAGCTCCTTCTATTCAAAATATGAGCTCTCTCTTATGCTTTGACATGTTTAGTTTGAAAAGTCTCTCTGCCATCTTTATCTAGATCCCTGAAATAAGACACCAAATGGACCAAGCCATTACGGACCTTCCTGCAGGCTGAGCTGCAGGAGCTATCAACATTTCTTGGAGATGTGTAGAGGAAAAGTTTGCAATTCGAAAAACCACATTCAGTATCATGGTTCTGCCTCATGGGAAAAACCCACCAATTTCCTTTTGAACGCAAACAGTAGATGGCAAAAAGCTTACCAGAATTCTATCTAGTCAAAATGCACTAAAGGTAGGCTCAACAGTAGAAGCAATGAAATATTAATGTTGAAAGTGGGAACATGTAGGATTTAGAAAAGAGCTGAAAACACGGTTCCGTGTAGATGCTGGCCTCACGGAGGAGACTCTTTGGGGATAGTTACCAAGCTTTAGGAAACCTTAACAGAGCCATTATCCACTCTGGATTTCTCTCTCTTATCCAGCAGGCTCAGAGAAGAAATTCTCAAATTTCTTGTTTAGTCAAAGTACACCCATGTGCACTATTTCCATGATTAAGCAACCTGTAAACACTATCCAGTGGGGAACTAACTGAACTTAACTTACCAGTGAATCGGAGGCGGCTCCTGATTCCACAAGGTCCACATCCTTCAGTCCTTATTTAGCTAGACTTTTCTCCCTTGTATCTACCACCATTTAATACTTAAAATATTTTGCTTCCTTATTATGTTTCTTTTCTCGATTGTTCTCTCAATCCCCCTGAGTTGTGTGAGGACAGAACTTTTGTTTTGGTCACTATGGAAATTTACAAGGGTACCCAGCATATAATGGGTACCCAAGAAATAGTTGACTGAGCAAAGAAAGCAATGAATATCTACCTTCCCAAAGAACTTTTTTTTCCCACTTGCACACACATTTACAAAGCAGAACCACCATCCTCTTCTGTATAACACATCCACAAGGCCCTCCTTGATCTGGGCTTCATGGCCTTGGATGTCTTATATTCTATTCCTGTGCTGTACTTGTAACTCTGCTCTCGGTCACCCCCCTCCCTCCTGCCCTCTTTTCTTCTTTCCTCCTTCTGTTTCAGTACAGTACTGGGTTTTGAACTCAAGGCCACGTGCTTGTTAGGTGCTCTACCACTGGAGTCATGCTCCCCTAACCTTTTTGTTTCAGCTACTTTTTAGGTAGGGGCTCAAGTGTCAGCAACATAGCAGGACCCCCTTTCAAAAAAAAAAAGAAAGAAAGAAAGGAAAAAAAGATGGAAATGGAGGAGGAGGAGGTAGAGGAGGAAGCAGTTGGAATAGGATGGAAAAGGTGGAAATGGAGGAGGAGGAGGTAGAGGAGGAAGCAGTCAGAAGAGGAAGTCCTTCCTAGTAATTGCTGCATCCCTCCATCCCCAACCAGAGCTCTCAGCTTGACAATTTCACTCAGGCCAGGAGCCCAGAGTTCATGTTTTGCATCGTCCACAGACTACTTCTCACGATCTCTCTTCTCTCCTAACTCATGACCTTTCACTAGAAAGAGGAAGAGGAAAACCACTTGAGCCCCTAAGACTGAACTTCCT